ATTGCATTATATTGGGATTGCCTCGAGATATGTGCCACCAATATAGGCGCTTCAAATTGAATAAACAAAAATTGCAATTTTTAGAGGTTGACATTATTCCGGACGCAACGGTGAAGTCCGTTTGTCGATCCGACATTGTTTGATCAACCTCGCGCTTTAATCTCGAGTGTCGGCCATCCCTTTTGATCGACCTCGTCTGATTCAATAACGAGGGGCCTCGACCTAGCAGAATTCAGTATCCTAATCACAATGATACCATCCATTTGACAATCAAAGATCATTTAATCCCTTAAGTGATGCATTTTGTCAATGCACACATTGCCTAAATGATCTTTTTTTTGCCTCTTTTCACATGGTTTATATATATGGGTCAACAGGAAGGTGGAAGTGATTTTGTAAGGGCTTCTCCGCCTAGATATGGGGGCTAAAAGAGAGACACTTATTTTAGTGCAATAATTGGAGGGTGCCTCCAAGGAGTGGACATAGGTCAAGGCTTGACTGAACCACTATAAATCCGATGTGTTCTTTCTTATTATTTGCTTCCACATTTAATTTTTGCATTTGTTTTATTTGTGGTGATTTTGGTTTGTACTTTGCTTAAAGTTTCTTCTTTACCAATTCACCACTCTCTTTATTTAGCCTTGGGCTAGTTCTATAGGGCTTAACATCCCTAATGAACTTTCAAGTGGTATCAGAGCACTTTCTAGTATCATCTGAGCACTTTCAAGTGGTATCGGAGCATTGTTATCTGAGCACTTTCACATATAATGTCTTTTTAACTTGAATGCATGATTGGGAAATATGAATTTTCAAAGCTTAAGGGTTGCTCAACATACACATCTTCTTTAAACACCTCATTTAAAAATATACTCTTAATAACCATTTGATACAATTTAAATTTCCTAAAGCAGGAAAATGCTAGTAGCAACCTTATGGCTTCTAGTATAGCTACAAGGAAAAGGTTTTCTTAAAGTCTATTCCTTTAATTTGATTGTACCCCTTAGCTAATAATTTGGCCTTATTTCTCATAACCATTCCAGAGTCTATCATTTTATTTTTGAACACCCATTAGGTTCCAACAGTACTATGATCCTTAGATCTTTTAACTATTTCCCATATATTATTATAATAAATTGATTGAATTCCTCTTGTATTTCTAGGATCTAAATTCATCTACTAAGGCTTAATCTATATTAGTGGGTTCTAATATAGATATGAATACAAAATGAATAACCTGCTTCCTAATTCCATACCTAGTTCTAACACCTTTAGATGGGTCTCCTAAGATCAATTATTTAGGGTAACTATATGAGTATCTCCGTTCTCTAGGTAGAGGCGCCTGAGGTTCTACTCTATCTCCTAGGTTAATAGCTTCTACCCCATTTAATGACCTCTACTTCATCTTTTAGTTTAGATTCAGAGGTCTTATTTGATTCATCAAATACCATATGGGTAGACTCTTCTATTATCAAGGTCATCTTATTGAAGATTTTATAGACCTTACCTACATATGAATAACCTAAGAAAACTCTTTCATCAGACTTGGGATCAAGTTTTCCTAAGGGGAATTTTCCATTGTCAGAGTAAAGCATTTACACTCAAAAATGTGTAAGTGAGAAAGGTTAGGTCTCCTACACTTCAGGAACTCATAAGATGTTTTTTAATTAAGATATAACATTCACCCTATTTAAACTATAACAAGCATTATTCACTTATTCTACCCAAAAGAATCCAGGGAGAGAATATTCAGCTAGCATGGTCCTAAAAACTTCTACCAAAGTTCCATTTTCCCTCTTAGCTATTTCAACCTATTGAGGGGCCCAAGGAATATTCTATCCTTATCTCTTGATAAAAATATTCAAACCTATCATTCTCAAACTCTCTATCATAATCATTATGAATGGTTAAAATTTCACACACAAATTTAATTTGTATTTAGGTAGAGAAGGTTCTAAATTCCTTAAATGATTTACTCTTTAATGCTAGGAATCTAACCCAATTAAATCTAGAATAGTCATCTACTACTATAAATCCATATGTCTTCCCTCCTAGGTTGGGTGTACTAACTAGTTCAAAAAGGTCCATATGAAGAATCTTTAGTGTCCTTGAGGTGTTTATGTCCTTAATTGAATGAAATAAAGACTTAACTTATTTTCTAGTTGGATGACTTCACATAAGTGGTCCTATGTGAAGTCTAACTTAGGGATGTCTCTAACTAGATCTTTTTGAGTTATCTTTCTAAGAGTTTACATGCTTGCATGACATAGTCTTCCATGCTATAGTCAGGAATCATCAACAATTATTTCTAAACATAGGAACAAAAATATTTAATGAAGTTCAAATCAAGCATGTAAAGATTATTTATTCCTTTTTTTTCTTCTAAAATGAATTTTCTCTCTAGGCTAATCATGCATTATGCAAAAAGAAACTTTATGTCAAAACCCTTATCACATAATTTGCTAATAATTAGTAGATTATGCATAAAGCCATCAAATAATTAAATATTTTCATAGTAAACTTGTTAGAATTGCTATTATACCTAACACCACCACTTTCTTAGTTGTATTATCGCCTAGTGTTACCTTGCCTCTTGACTTGGTCTCCAGTATGGTGAATTGCTTCAAATCACATGTTATGTATCTCGAGCATCCACTATCCCGGTAACATATGCTCTCACTAGGGTTTTTGGGAAAGCACCCCTAAAAGGTCAATTAAAAGTTATATTTCAAAACCCAAGTGAGTTTACGTTACACCTTAAGCATTGATGAATGAGATGTTTGCATGTTATTTTGTGATGCAAGTAATTTTGACCTCCACACTAGACATGTCTTATGGTGGATAGTGTAAGTGTAGGCTATGCAACCTAGCATGCCACAAGAATGACACCTAACCCCCAGGGAATAGATTTACTAGCCTATGATGGGGGATGTGCCTCCTTCTTGAGATAAATGATGCTTGTTGTGCGGTTAATTTTGCCATTATGCTAAAGTAAGTGATGGTCTATGGTTTTGGAGTGCATTTATTTTTTCTTGTAGAGATTTATTTTTACTTTCTAGATTAGACACTTCTATTTTTACTGCATGCTCACTATCATCTACCTTTGTTGCGCATACCTCTAATTTCTGGAATGATTTTTTAGTTCAATATTTGATGTCTCCAAGAATTTTATGCACTAGATAAATTAATATGCTTCTTATTTAATGCATCATATTCATCAAGTAAAGTCATGTTATCATCATATAAATTCAAATGCTCAATAATCAAATTATCAAGCTATTTTTATAAATGAGAAAATTTAGTATTAAAGTTAGCATACATCTTCTTAAGTTTCCTATATGAATCATGATTTTTTTTTTTTGAAATAATAAATAATTCATCATAGGAAAATTGACATACCTTATCTTGATCCTATTGATCAAGATTATCATTTTCCATAAGACACATGTTTGTTACCTCCTCCTTTACTTCTAGTTCTATTGATTCTGACGCAGAGTCGACCCAAAATGTCTTCTATGTCTTGTTCTTCCCCTTCTTGAATTATTCCTTCTCCTCACCCTCTCCTTGATTGGGTGAGTCTTTAGGTTGGGCAAATCTATTTGGAGATGTCCATGTTTCTTGCATTCAAAACATATTGTGTCATAGGAAGCTTCGAAATTTCTTTTGCTTTTATATTTACTCCACTATTGTTAATGATGCCTTTGGTTCCTCTTTAAAAATTTTTTGAACAAGTGGGTCATTAATGCAATGTCATCCTCCTCCTCTGCTATAGAACTATCACTATCTGAATTGTTTGCTTTAAGAGCTACAGTCTTCTCCATTTTCTTTTCACCTACATAATTTAGTCTTTGATTCACAGCTTGCTCGTAGATAATGAGTTACCAAAGAAAATTATTAATTTAGTATATTTAAGTCGTTTAACTTAGTAATAGTAGTAATATTAGCATCATAAGGACTAGGTAGGCAACATAAAATCTTATTGACTTTTTTAGAATTAGAAAGTTTTATACCTAGTGCATTCAAGGTTGTCACTATTTGGGTAAATCTATTATTTAGAAATAGTCTCGCTACGGTTTAAGAAATAAAGTTTGTATCATCATCTCGCTAATTGCAGTTGATTGTGAATATTAAAATTCCTATAGTATATTGAACTTATAGATAATAGAAAAATAAAATCACAAAAAAGTAAATGTGAAAAGGAATAAAGCACACGAAATATTTTTATAATGATTCGTTCAATCATGACCTATCTCCACTCCCTAGAGTCTTACACTCTGAGCATTTCACTAAACTAAGTGTCTTTGCACTTTTTCCCCCGGCATGGCAGAGAAGCCCTTATAGAAATCCCTTATAACAACCCTGGTTTGGTGAAGTGCAGGAAACTATATCACCCTCCGAGTGATGGTAGCAAACCTTCAATCTTTTTCTCCCTCTTAAAAAAGGCAGAGTACCTCAGCTCCTTTTTTGCCTCCTAAAGAAGGCAGAGAACCACAACTCCTTTTTCTCCCACTTGAAGAAAGAAGAGAACCTTAAGGAGTTGACTTAGAAGCCTCTCTTCTAAGAGAAACTTCAAGGTCTCACTAGGCCACAGGAGGAACCAAGATGTAAAAAAGCCTAGAGCAACTATGGGAACCAACTCACACTACTTCTCCCTCAAGCTCATCCTCACCTTCTTCTTTCTCTCCCACCCAAGAGCTCTCAGGAATTCTTCTCTCTCTGAGTACCTTCAACAACCAACCACTCATCTCTCTTATTATGAGGGATTATTAAAACATTGTTTATGTATTGGTATTCAAAAAATCCTAAAATTCAAGTTGTCCTATCTTTGTTCATATAATATGATATTCATTCATACGGTATGAACAATCCAAAAATTAGACCTGTCTAATGCGATGCAAATAGTTATTCTGACGAACTATTCAAAATTTGCAAACAAATTATATAGTATGATCATGAGGTCATGTAATACGATATGTTCAACTTCTCTATATTCATATAGGATAATACATGGGATGATTAAAAATAGTTTTTATTAATCATCATGTATTTTCTTCATCAAATAGTACGGTTAGTTGAATTCTAGCTGGTCCTCCAGTACGATGTAAACAACATACAATATGATTAGTTTAATAATCATAGTTTTGTTTGGTATGATATTTGGTACGACCAAATTTCATCTATGTCAATCGTACGGTATGATCAAGATCGCATAGTATGATATGTTATTATTAATTAAACCATAATTTGTTTGACTATTTATGCTAGTAATTAAAGCAAGAATTTAAAACATTGTACAGTTCAGTTGGTATCATACGTTATGACTAGTTTAAAAATCATTTTTTGAATTTCTTAATTAATTTATCTAGCAATTAGAGTTTCCAAATCCTACAGTATGATAGTCATCATATAGAAAATTTTGTTTCATATTATTAATGATTAAATTAGTTGTTAAAGACCATTTTCTAAAAAATTAATTGTATAGTACGATTATAAGTCGTACTGTATAATTAGTTCAAAAAAAAAATTATCTTAGCTTTTCTAGACTCCATTTGTGTGTGTCTGCATGATCACCAATTGCATACACCCTTATATGTCTAAACTCAAGAAATTGAAAATTATAAAAACTTAAAATTACAGACTCTCTAACTTGACATCCTATTATATACCCAAGCTTAAGTCTTTAGTAGTCTTGAGCGGTGTATGTTTTTACGCACAAACAAAAATGTAATATCTAGTTTTCATATTAAAAGTACTAAAAAATTCAATCAATAATGTTTGTTATCATAAAAATCACAAGTTAGGGATCTTAATTTATAATAAATGGCAGATGACATACCCCAAAAAGGCAAGAGTCAAAGGTTTAGCTCTTTCCATCATCTCATCATCAAAGAAGAAAACTTTTTCATTTGATGTGCTTAAATAGATGAGAGAGGAGGAAGCCCTATAAACATTGGCTATTAGCAACCCCCCCCCCCCCCCCCCGACCCCCCCCCCCCCCCCCCCTCTATTTTCCAATTAAGCATATGTTGTGGTGAGCTATGAGGTGGGGCACTCAAAATAGAAGACGTAGAGGAGTGGAGGGGTGGAAAAGTGATATCATTATAAATAAAAGTTTCTCAAGTACAACCAAATTCAAATAGAGTAGATCAACCCAATAAGAGGTTAGAGAGTACTAGGTTATAGGCAAATCGAAAGCGAGGCACACCAACAGAGGTACACAATGGTGTCAAAGGCTAGAGGCACATGGAGTCACTTGGGCAGTTTCAATTAGTTTGGGCTATGCTAGATTATTGAGCGCATGCGACACCCGCTCTATTTAGAGGAAGCCACCATCTAAATCCATCCAAAAAATAACAACTAAGCAAGGAGATGAGGAAATTACCATTAAGAATAACTTTTTGAGGAAAAAAATTATTTGGCTTCCTTATAATTTTACTTGAATTTAATAAATCAAATTTTAAATAATGATCAATTAAATTCGCTTTCTTTCTTTATTCTATAATAACAGTTATAATGTGTCTAAATTTGACAACATTTATATCACTATAAAGTAACCAAATTGGATTGCATATATATATAGTGTATTTATGGAATTGCTCATTCTGAGCTCAAAACATGTAGATCACAGAAGTTAATACACTAGATTAGACCACATTGTGATTACATGTGGGCTCATCTTGTATATGTAAAACTTTAATGCATATCTCAAGTAATTAATGATAAATAATTAGCATTTTTGGCAAGAATTTTTCAAGCAATAATGTCATTTATGAATTTACCTTTTAATATAATAATTTTTATATAGTCTTGTCTCTACTCTTACTTATAAATAGTGATTAAGAGAAAAAGCCTAATGACACAAGAAGTTATTTGTCTCAAAGTGTTTGAACATTCGAGCAATAAAATCACAAAACTTCCCTCATATTCTCTCTCTCTCTCTCTCTCTCTCTCTCTCTCTCTAGTTTCTTAATTTTATAGTCTATCTTGTCAGTAAGGTTCGGGCATTATCCACGTATAAATTTGAATTCAACAAAACATATCTTTGATTTATAATCACTAATTTAAGCTACCGAACTTTGAATTGATTCTATGTAGCACATCCAACAAAGCAACAACATTTCAACTAAAATTTTAACATGAAGAGCCCGGGCGGAACCAGCTTCAATTTTGAGCGGGTGAAAATACAGCAAAAAAATAATATTATATATCTATATATTACAAAAAGTTAAAAAAAAATTAAGCAAGAAAAATTAAAAAAAAAAATGTAATTAAACTGTCATAAAAATCATGAAAGAGAATATTAGAATTAAATGTGAAGAAATATATAGATATTTTAGGGCAAGTTAGGACAAAAAAATGATTTAGAGGGGACAAAAAAAATTTTTTACTCTCCTATAATAATTTTTTTTTTTTACTCTCCTCTTAAAAAAAAAAAATTTTTTAAGGGGGGGGGGGGGCAGCAATTGCCCCCCAAGGAACCATGTGGTTCCACCCATGTGAAGAGGAAAGAGGTTGGGGTTTATATAGTTAATCGGACCTGGGAAATAATTCATGGTGATATTGATTTTTCTATGAGAAAAACTTATTTTAGGCAAATAACATAGAAAATTTTGCTTAACTTTATTATATTTATTTATTCTGATTTTGTTCTCAAAAAGGCTACTATTTAAGATAATATTAACATTTATAAAGGAAAAAAAAATAATCTTATATTTTGATGTGGTAATGATGATTTGTATGATTATTCTAGTCAGTTTTCAGGAATATTTTAATATAAAAATTTCTATTCAGAAAAATAGTAAATATTTATAAAATTAAGATTTTATTTATCTAAGCTGTAAAGCAGCTATTTCTTGGATACATATTCTCTCTAATTAATAGGTACCTTTATTAAGTTACTTATTTTAGTAAGTGAGATTACTACAATCATAGTTTCTTAAAACTATTCTTATTTTAAAAAGAAAATTAATCAGTAAGAACAAATTGCATGATTTAGATGGCAATTAACTGATAACTGCATGAGGAACTGAATTCCTTTTATGCTACTAGATTATACTAAAATCTTTATTTATTTTAAAGATAAAGCTTATATATAATTAAGACATCAAATTTGATGAATGTTTTCTATTTTTATGGACAAAAAAAATTTATATTAAAATATGCAAGAAAATTCATTAGATTAATTTTACACAACTAATCATTACCATAACAAATATACTGTTGAATATTTTCCATTATAAATTTTAATATTATCTTAAGTAGATACCTTTTTTAAAAAATAATCACAATAAAAATAAATAAAATTCAGCAAAAATTTTTATATGATTTTCCAAAAATAATTTAAGATATATGTTGATAGGCACAAGTACTACAAAAATGATAGAAACAAGTAATAATCCCATGCTTTTACACCACCATAAAACCTACCTGAACAGTGCCACCTCATCCTTTCCCCAAGACTATAATGTAAGATCATCTACAATCTTCCCTAGGAAAATAACAGAGCTACCCTATATGCCTTCGTTTCCCATTTCCGCCATCCCACCCGACATTTCCCACCCGTTCAAAACCTTAAACCCCGTCCGTTGCTAACATCTCCGGCTGCGGCAGGGAACTTTTACGGCAAGTAGGACATGATTGCTGGGATGAGATCCACACGTCGATGCATCTGACATGGAATCCATGGCCGCAGTTAGGCAGTATACGAACGGTGTCGCCAGCGGCAAACTCAAGGAGGCAGATAGCGCAGTCAGCCGCACCCACCACCGGGAGAATCTCTCCGGCGGAGAACACTACTGCCGGAATGACCTCCGTCGGCGGCACCGCTGAATGCCCAGCAGCTGGCATCTCCAAAGCTGCATCGGAATGCCGGCGCCGGTTTCGGCGACGGACGTGGCAGCGGATTAGTGCTCCTGCAGTGGAACTGAGTGCGACGGCTAAAAGAAGGGCTGCGATAATGATACCCATGTTTTTGCCGAAGTCGCAGGCGCCGCGGAACCACAATGATGACGGCGGCGACTCCGGCGACTCTCTTAAATTTTTTCTGTTTGGAAGCATAAGTAATGATTAGACTATTAACAGCACCGAGAAAGAGAGAGAGGGATGAAACAGACGGGAAAGAGAAAAGAGATCGGGATTTTTATAAGTACAAGGTTGAAAAAAAATTATATTGAATTTATAAAAAAGAGCATGTTTTAAAAACTAAATTTGTTTAAGGGGCATATTAGTAAAAAAAAATGTTATTTAAAAATAAATAATATATAAAGTCTAAATTAAACAGTTTTAAAAATAAATTATATAGTATTAGAAAATCTAAATTAAATAACATTTTTAATTAAAAATAAATTTTAGAATCAAATAAAAAAAGAAAATAAATAAAAAATAAAGAAATAAAATTGTAAATGTTAAATAAAAATAATTCATTAATTCACCATAAATCAAATTAAATATTCTAATTTAAATAAAGTAGAATTAATTTCTAAAGATAATTTTAATAAAAAATTTAAAAAATCAAAATTAAATAAAATTTTTATCCATTTTTTTTAACAATCATAAATAATCATAACTTTTTAAAAAATTAATTTATTCTAACTTAATTTTTCATTTTTCATATAAATTGATAAAAATGGATAAAATAATTTATTATATGAAAATCCGGTTTCTTAAGAAACCAAAATTTGATATTCGGTTTTCTTCTCAAATGTGAAAAAAATTAATTTAAATCGGGGTAATTTATAGAAATTGGACAAGTAAGTTTCGTATTTAGGTATTTTTAATTTTTTTCATTAATCTGCTCCTTAAATTAATTTAGTTTTAAAACAAGCTCCTTTTTTATAAATTCACTATAAATTCTTTTCAACCTCCTACTTATAAAAACCCCCATCTCTTTCCTCTTCCCCACCTGCTCCATCTCTCTCTCTCTCTCTCTCTCTCTCTCTCTCTCTCTGCAGCTAATAGTCAAATCATTACTTATGCTTCCAAACAGAAAAGTTTTAGGAGAGTCGTCGGAGGCACTGTCATCATCGGAGTGGGCACCGTTTGATGGCCCCGACAACTTCGGAAAAAAACATGGTATAATTATCGCAACCCTTCTTTTAGCCCTCGCACTTAGTTACACCACAGGTGCCCTAATCCGCAGCCACCTCCGTCATCGGAACCTACGCCGGCATCCCGATGCAGCTTTGGAGAAGCTGACTGCTGGGCATTCAGCGGTGCCGCCGCTGGAGGCCATTTCAGGTGGTAGTGTTCTCCATTGGAGAGGGTCTTCTGACGATGGGTGTGGCTGAGTGCGTTATCTGCCTGCTGGAATTTGTTGATGGCGATGCCTTTTGTATACTTCCTAACTGCGGCCATCTATGAAGCGAATTTGCACTTTTTCACATTTTTGCTATTCATGCTCCTTTTACGTAATGAGTGATGCAGTGTCGGATTGACTTATAATGATCCCGAGGGCCATCATACCCTTATTTCTTTCTTCCACTACTTACAGTACTATGTTAGTTATATGTTAGTGATAATATACCTTTTTCATTGATACACCTTTTATAGAAACAGGTTAGTTACAACTACAGGAAAGACTACTAGTTGATTCAGCTACAGGGTTTTTGGGGAAACTTATTTAGAGAGTAAGGCAACGGGAGGAGGACAGTTTTTGATCTATCTGAAATTACTTGAGACTATTTTTAAGTGAATATACAGGCCTCTGAAGCCTTTATACCAATCTTCCCTGTTCTTCCTTGTTTGCTTGTCTTTCTGTGTTTGCAGGTTCTGGTTGACATCAGATTGGTATCAGAGCTAATCGACAGCAATGACGGACAAAGGGAAGACGCCAGTATCTGGCGAAGGTCGGAATATCGACACCTTTGTGGAAAATCAGGCGAACATGATGCGTCAACTGGAGTCGTTGGCCGCCGATGTTCAACGCCTCATGATCGACAGACGCTGCGAGTTCAATCTCTAACGACCGAGGATTTTGCCCCATCATACCCGTCGAGAAGCGACACCGGTAGTGGTCCCTGGTCATCGACGTGGATTGGGTCTTGATAGTTTTGGGTGCCATTAACGACCCCAAATCCCTGAGGTAACATATTCAGATGATGATGTTCTTACAACTCCTGAGGAGAATGTGAACGATTCCGAAGTTGAAGCTGATGGGCCTGACTATGGTCCAGTTCATGGCGGAAGGAGACGACAACATTACCCACAGAGGAATCAAGCGGAGTTTAAAATCAAGGTAGATATACCATTTTTTTATGGACATGTCCACATTGAGGATTATTTGGATTGGGAAAGAGCTGTTGAAATTTTTTTTGATTACTTGGAGATCGACCCCTCCAGGCAAGTGAAATATGTCGCTTGCCGTCTGAGGAGTGGAGCCAGTGCGTGGTGGAACCAGCTGTTACAGATGAGGCAACGGGAAGGAAAAGGGCCTATTCGTAATTGGGCTAGGATGAAACAACTTCTGCGTGCTAAATTCCTTCCCACTGATTATGAACAAATTAGGTATATGAAATACCAACAGTGCATACAGTGCAACATATCCGTGAGCGAGTATACAGAAGAATTCCATAGACTCAGCGCACGCAACAATTTGAATGAATCGGTGAACCAACTGGTGGCTCGGTACATCGGTGGGCTCAAATATACTATACAAGACAAATTGGAACTAAATTCTATCTGGTCGTTACCTCGAGCGATCAATTTCTCTTTGAGGGTGGAAATCCAGCTGAGCAGATCGTCCCGTTCACAGCTCAGGCGACGACCTCTTATTGTGTCAATGGCAGAATCTGATAAAGGACTCAACAAAATTGTACAGACCTCGTCGTCATCGGGGCCAAGCAGCAGTACTTCAAAACCGACAGCTACATCCTCTGATACTAAGTCACAGTTCAAAGCTAAGCCACCGATCTCAAATAATCCTTATGCTAAGCCAGTGACGTTGAAATGATTTCGATGTTTTCAACCAGGTCACAAATCTAATGAGTGTCCTCAGCGACAACAACTTCAATTGCTGGAAAATGAAAAAGAAGCCTCACCTGATCCACTGGATGAGGAAAAAGACAATTCTACTGAAGACCTTGAAGGGGATGAAGGGGAACCTCTGGTTTGTGTCATCGAGAAACTGTTGATTGCACCTCGACAACAGGTTGTTTCACAATCAAATGCCATCTAAAATACAAGGTGTACCATCAGTGGAAAAGTTTGTGACCTCCTCATTGATAGTGGCTTCACCAAAAACATCATAGCTCGCTCTGTGGTTCAAACTCTTCAGTTAAAAACAACAAAAAATCCTCACCCCTACAGGATCAGCTGAGTAAAGAAAGGAGTCGACATTCCGGTCACTGACATGTGTCAAGTGACCTTTTCAATCGGCCGACAGTATGTCTGTGATGTATTGTGTGATATACTATACATGGATGTGTGTCACTTAATCCTCGGTCGGACTTGGCAATTTGATGCAGGTGTTCAATTTGACGGATGAGCCAATGTCTATACATTAGACTGGAAGGGCAAACGTCATAGACTACTGCATAAGACCCTTGACACTGCTTTCCGGTCCTGAAACAAGGCCAGCACGCCCACTCTACAAGTAGTGACAGGTCCAAATTTGCTACTAGCTGTGAACGAGGAGGATCCCATTTGGGCTATGGTGTTAACTGATACCTCTACTCTTCACCAGTTACACATTCCGGAAGCAATTCGTCTTTTATTAGAGCAATTCAGTGATATCTGCCCAAGTGACCTTCCAAGTACTCTGCCTCCGCTACGATCCATCCAGCATCAAATTGATCTGCTACCAAATGCATCTCTGCCAAATTTACCACACTATAGACTCAACCCCAAGGAACAAGAAATATTAAAATCTATCATAGATGACCTGTTTCAAAAACAACTGATCCAAAGCAGTATTAGTCCTTGTGCAGTCCCGGCTTTGCTTGTTCCCAAGAAAAAAAATGAGTGGCGGCTTTGTGTAGACAGCAGAGCAATTAACAAAATTACAGTAAAATACCGGTTTCCTATACCGAGAATTGAGGAACTTCTGGATCACCTCTATGGAGCCACTGTGTTTTCTAAATTGGACCTACACAGCGGGTATCACCAGATAAGAATTCGTTCCGGGGACGAATGGAAAACAGCTTTCAAGACCCCTTTCGGCCTATTTGAGTGGAGGGTGATGCCGTTTAGCCTTTGTAACGCACCATCAACCTTTATGAGGATGATTCAGCTCATTCTCAAACCTATTTGGGGCCAATTTTGCATTGCTTACTTTGATGACATTCTTGTCTACAACAATACCGCCGATCAACATACAGGTCATCTACAGCAAGTTTTTGTCATTCTCTAAGAAAACAAATTCCTCCTTAACCTGTCGAAGTGTGAGTTTTCCACACCCACAGTCCAGTTTTTGGGCTTCCAGCTATCCAAAGATGGTGTGCAAATGCATCCGAATAAGGTGTCTGCCATCCTCAATTGGTCTACGCCGACGTCCTTCTTCGACATTAGGAGTTTCCACGGTCTTGCGAATTTCTATCGCAAGTTCATTAAAGGCTTCAGCCTTATTATGAGTCCTATAACTGACTGTTTAAAGTCTAAATCCTTCAAGTGGGGCGCACTGCAACAGAGTAGTTTCGATGTTATTAAACTAGCCCTTACATCTGCTCAAGTACTTGCCCTCCCTGATTTTGATAAACTTTTTACAGTGGAAACTGATGCTTCTGCCATAGGTATTGGAGCCGTGTTATCTCAGGATGGGCGACCAGTGGCATTCTTTTGTGAGAAGCTTTGCCCATCTCGCCAACGCTAGTCTGCATATGAACAAGAGCTCTACTCCGTCATACGCACTCTTAAGCAGTGGGAACACTATCTACTGCACCAAGAGTTCATGATTTGCACAGATAATAAAGCACTTCAGTTCATTAACAGACAAAAAAATGTCAATAGGATGCATGCCCGTTGGGTTTCATTCCTCCAGAAGTTCTCTTTCGTGCTTAAACATCAGGCTAGCAAAAACAATAAGGTGGCAGACACACTCAGTTGTAAATCCCTGCTCTTAACTC